AATATCTAACCTAATTCAGAAATAAATTTTTTATAATGTCTCTGGATTAAATGAGCACAATTTCAATTGATTGAATTTCAATTGGGCAAATACATATAAAAATTTAAAGCTTACTTGGACTTTTAATTAATATGTAATTTCAATTTTCGTTCTGCGTTTTCATGCGATATGGCAAGATTAAAAACTTCTAGGTCTCAAATTACAAACAATAAATTTGAAAGCATTTAATAAACAAAAAATAACATTAATGTAGAAATAAAATCGAACAATATATTTTCGTGAAACAATTTAACGATGATAAAGTGAAATGCGCTTACATTTTTTAAACATTATTTCTTATTTGAACTGATTTAATTAGATTATCTAAAAACTCGAACTAAAAAAAATGGATTTTTAGGAATATCATGCAAAGTCTTTTTCGCAAACAAATCGATAGGAATCAGAAAAGCCACCATCATAAACAACAAGTTTGGAATTCCAAAATAGCATGATTGCGCAGTCTTCGTTAAAACCTCCTGTTGGTTCCCCCGGTGCCCATATCGCGCTTGGTGAATCATTTACTCCATCCGACCAAATCCAAACTCTTTCATTGCAGATGTCGCCCAATCCTATCCATGCATACGCTCCGGTTAAGTAATGTTTCGTAAGTATTTCACTAAGAAGATGCAGGATTATTAATTACTGAGAATTAAAACTTCATTTATAGCCACATTTCAATATTACAGTTCACATGTACAAGAGATAAAGTTACAAATTTAGTGGTACGTTTTATTCTTATGAAAGATTTATTTACCAATTAATTAGCAAAATTTGTGTTAAAACAGCTACAAAGTGCCGCAAAGATTGTGAAGAAATATAAAATTAGGTTGTAGTGGACATTTTTCTATTTACGCTGAATATTTCGAAGCATTTGTTAAGTGGTAGAGAAGAATAGTTTTTGTGTCATTATCAACAAGGTACAAGATACATGTTTGGTATTCTCGTAACGATACATTTCATTTGTGCTGTCACGCCACGCCAAGAAGATGTTTCCAACGCAACAAATTTCAAGGTCAAATACTAGCTTGCTGAAGGTAGTTACATTTTGAGCTATTATAAATTTTAAATCAATTTTTTAGTATTTGAGAATTTTCTTTCTTAATACTATGCAAAGCTCCGCAAAGCAAACAAATCTAGTTTTTTACAAATTACATATTTTTTTTGCAATCAACAGACTTACTTTTTCACTTGGTTGTTCCTAATTCCGGTTGAAACCAAACGAGCTCCCATTCTTTCACATCGAGCTTTTGCAGTTGTATAGTTGACAGAATCAGTGAAACGTTTATAAATAAGATTATTGCTTGCTCTAAACCACCCGATAATAGACACGAATTTGTCAATATTTAAACTCGCTTCAGTCAGATTTGCGTTCTGTAAAGCAAACTAAGTTTAAAATAAAATTAGGTTATTATGTGCTTGCATGTCACTGTATAACTAGATGCAACATAAACAACAAAATTCTCGTTTTTAATGTTGAATGTGCAAAAATAATTATCATATAATTATTTTATTTATTTTAATTAAAAATTATATCCCATATGGTATTGCATTGACATAAATATTTGTCCTACCAGTTTCAACACAGTTTGAGTCATACCTGGCCCGCGGTCCAAAAAGTTTGATGATCCCTGATATAGAACATAAGGCTTAATTAAATTCCCGGTATTAACTAACTTGCATAATCAGGAGGATAAATGCAGCAACAGACAATAAGAAGCATATTCCAAAAGATATCGCGACAACAAACAAAGTTTTCTTGTTCGTAGCCTCATTGTTGTCTGTGAAAAGAAAACGTGGACGAAAGGCATTTAAATAAATATATTTCATGGGATAAAAAATTACTCGTTCTTTATTATACGTGAAAATAGGGCAATTAAAATTTGTTGCGGCATTTCTGTAAAATAGCTTATTTAAGATGAAAAATGACATTTGAATTTTCAACAGTTTCACCATGCCTGTTCACCCTCGTATCCTACTTTTTCATTTTTTCCTGTTATATTACATCTTAGAATTTAAGTTAAGAAGAATGGGCGATAGATGATAGATTAAGATGATAGATTAGGATGATAGAAAACAAAAGCTGGAAATAAACTTCATTAAAAAGACCCTAAGACAAAATGGATACCCAAAGAAAATGTTTAGTAATCAGAGCAACCGTCAAGATACAAAAGAAGAACTGAAACCGATCACGTCAACTACCATTCCCTATGTTAAAGGACTCAGCGAGAAAATTCGAAGAATTTTAGAAGATGTAAGGATTAAAGTTAGTTTTAAACCCCAAAACACAATTGGCCAACTACTTTCTAATGTCAAAGACCGCCCATGCCCCAACAAGAAAAACGGCGTGGTATATGCAATCCCATGCGTTGATTGTTGCTCTATTTACATTGGAGAAACGAAACGAAGTCTAATTACTAGAAGAAAAGAACATCAGCGTGATGTAAAACAAAAGAAATTTGAAAAATCGGCCTTTTCGAAACATGCCCTTTCTACTGATCACAGCATTGATTGGGATAACAGCAGAATATTGGAACATGAAATTCACTACAGAAAAAGATTATTTCTCGAATCTTATCATATCAACAAAGAGAAAATTCAATGAACGATAAAGAAACTATATCTTTCCCGCATGTATATAAATCATTGTTTAGATAGTCGCGTAATTGTTTGAACTTGCGCTTATTCACTCGGATCTATTATCATATTGTCCCTTTTTTCAGTTTTTCACGCCGTTTAATTTTTACTATCTTTTTATTTTTCTACTCTATATATATACGATAGTGTACTTTTCATATCATGCCCTGATGAAGTTTTTCTGAATAGAAATTCGAAACGTCGGCAAATTATATCGTTTTGCTATACACCGGTTGTGCTTTATTTATCTTTGACATTAGCCCTGCACTTTGTCTATAAAAAAAGAACAGCACTTTGCCCCCTTGCGCAATGGCATATCGACGGAAAACCGGCGATCTATTTACATATTATACATTGGTATTTCATACTTCACCACTGCATTAGTCATTCATGCATCGAAAATTCAATTACAGGATCATTGATGCTTTTAAGTATATTTTTTTTAACGCGGAATATAGAAGCCCAAGTTGAATATATGAGACTAGACTGACTCTTGTCCTGCAAACTTGGAAACATCTCTGAGTGGAAAGTAATAATTCAAATTGAACTGAATATATTTTGAGTTTGACCAACGCGGTGTGATAAACTGCGAAGTTCAATTAATAATTTTTATGCTAATATATTACGATGCGGTTACGAACGTACTAATGTACACAGACTTCCTGTTTCACTAAGATAATAAAAGTCCCGTATAACTTTGACTCGCTTATTTGATGGGATTTATGAACTTTAGCTTTAGATTTTCATTCCTCTGGAGTTTTGTTTATTTTACTTCATGAAGTTGAAAGTGTAACAGTTAATAAATAGATTTGATAAAAATTGTTTTTCCTCTGGCTTTTAATGAGACTCTGGAATAAATTTATGTAAATTAATTACATATTCGGATTTCTGCGCAGTTTCCGCTTTAACGCCGTTTGGTTCTGTCGGATCCCAACTAGAGCTTGGCAATTTATTTACTCCATCCAACCAAACTGGAATTCTATTATTGCTAATATCATCCAATCCTTTCTTGCTCTAGTTCCGGCTAAGGAATGTACCGGAAATAGCAATTTATGAAATATTACTTTCGCTATTGATTTCGTTTTTGCTTATCTTTCCTTTAAGATTTTGTGTCGGTGGATCTGTGTGTATTATGAATGATATATGTATTATGACGTATGTCTTATGAAATATTATTCATAAATTTAGGAATTCCGATTATAAGTAACAGTTCACATTAATCTTTAAGCAGGGAAGGTCGCACTTGTGAAAATCCTGGGCCGTCTTGGTTCAATTACATTTTGTGGTGAAGCAGTATTGAATTTTTATATCACATGCACATGATTCCTCCATGCTACACATTTGCCCTGGTCTTGACAGAAAAAGCTTTAATTTTTAATTATGAAAGAATTTCACAAATGTAAATATGACTGCAAAATTTATTCATAGTTTGAATAACCCAAAACTAAAGTGTTCGAAAAAGACTTATCACACTAATTAAAACTGGATGATTGATCAAATTATTTTTTGAATCGTCAGTACATTTCTAAATGCAAAAAGAAGAAACATTTCCATGATGATTTATTGATTACATGTGAACGTAGATGAAATTCTTAACGTAAAACTTATCATCTACATTCTATAAGCTTTCGGGGGTTTTCATCACATTTCATAACCACATACGAAAGTTAAAATCTTTTATAAAAATATTCGAGGTGTTAATATAAAAACTCCCACATAAATTTGCAGAAAACAGTAATACAAAATTATTTATAGATTATATTTATAAGTTTATTTCAGTAGAGTTAACATCATTTCACCCCTGTCACATAGAATTTGGATCGACTTTGATGCATAAATATAAATGTTCAAAAATTCGACACTCCATGAAAGTTATGACAAGTATTCCCTGTAGGTGGACACAATTTGATTTTCATTGACATTTTAAATGAATGTCATCATAGCGTTTATCGCATAAAAAGCATCATCAAATAAAATGTAGATTGCACAATAAACCAGTTGGTAGCACAACGTATAGCTAATTTCCATATATAACTGTTTGTGTAAAATTCAATTTGAAGTAAGGAGCCTCACATTGTTAAAATGTTAAAATACCTAATCTAATTCCGAAAAATAATTTCTACATTTTTTAGATTGAATTAACTCAATTTCAACCAATGCTATTGGAAAATTCAAATTTGAAAAAGATTCCTTATGCTTTCAATTTTAATTTTCACTGTACGTTTCAATACTGTTGACGGCAAAAGTATAATTTTGTGGTCTCAAATCAGAAACAATAAATTTGAAAAGCATTTATAAAGACAAAAATAAATATTATATTCGGCAGAATGTTTTAAACTATAAGTCAGTCAATTCTATAGGGTTTATTTTTCTTTACTCATAAACAGACAGGAAATTAAATTGCAATATCAGAAATTAATTTAGAATTAAATTTAAAAATATCATTCCTTGATACGAAAAACGTCATGCAAATTCCCTTTCGCAAACAAATCTTTGGACTACAGAGCACGCAATATCAAGAGCACCAGGCAATACGATTACTGCACAGTTTTCTCTTCTGCCCCCGTTTGGTTGTGACGATTGCCATATTGCGCTTGTTGATTCATTTCCTCCATCCGACCAAACCCAAATTCCTTCCTTGCTTATGTCGTCCAATCCTATCCATGCATACGCTCCAGTTAGGTAATGTTTCGGGAATATTTCACTAAGAAGTTGCAGAATTATTAATTACTGAAAGTTAAAGCTTCATTTATAGCCATATTTACATATTACAGCTCACATGTGCAAGAAATGAAAACATGTTACAAAGTGCCGAAAAATATTGTGAACAAATTTGAAATGAGTTTTTGGTAAGTAATTTCCATACTGACAAGATATATTAACTAGTAGTAAGTGAGGTAAATAGTGGCTTTTACGTCAATAACAACAACATTTAAAAATACATTCATTTGTACTGTAGAAACCTATAGATACTGCTGGATCTAACTGAAAGTACTGAAAGTAAAAGAAGAGTGTTAACGTTTCTAACACAAGTCACTAACTTACTTTTTCACTTGGTTGTTCCTAATTCCAGTTGAAACCAAACGAGCTCCCATTTCTTCACATTGAGCCTTTGCAGTTGCGTAGTTGACAAAATCAGTGAAACGCTTGTAAATGAGATTATTGCTTGCTCTGAACCAACCGGATATCGAAAACATTTTGTTCATCCTCAAATTTGCTTCACTCAGGTTTGCTTTCTGTAAAGCAAATTAACTTTGAAATAATCCTGAAATATTGTGTTTTAACATGTTTCTGTATAACTTGATGCAACATAAACATCAATATTTTCATTTTTTACGTTTATTGTGCAAAAATAATATTTATATACTTTTATAATTCATACTAAAGAAAATTATAGATAGACAAAGTAAATAGTCCTGTTGCTCAAACTCACCAAATTGTTATCTCCAATCAATATTTTGGAGTCAAGTTGGCTCAATCCATTCTTCATATTTTTAACTCATGTTTTATACTTGAAGAAGCTGAAAATTTATTTGAAAACATAAAATCAGGTGACTAATCACAGGTTTAGATCGCACGCAGTAAGATTTTTACGAATGTTTTAATATAATTTATTCTGATTCAGAAGCGTCAGAGAAGGCAGGTGACCAGCCTACTTATACATTTTTATATATTTTTTTAATTTCATGTTCTGTTTTTACTCTGATAAACCATGTTAAGCCTTCTAAAGCGAAAACTTGATCCAAAATTCAAATATCTAAAATATTAACTTACTTTTCTGTGTTTTCTTGGAAATTTTGTGATGAAGGAATTAAAAATCGTTGCCAATTGTTTAAATGTCTGGACTATTTATAAGCTTTAAAACAAATGTTCAACAAAATTGTCATGACATTGGCAAATTTCCATGGGTATTTAAAATAACTTTCGTTTTCGAATGTCGTTTCCAAGCTTTTTAAATGAGATGGCTTGTCAAATATAAACCTACTCTTTTGTGTTTTATTTGAAATATTTGCTTTGTCAATATTGCAAAAGTTTCCATTTTCTTTTAAATTCCATAAAAGAGATCATGCTAATATACAATTGGCATGTTTCGACTAAAATCAATATATCGTAGCCTACTTTTTTGAGTGTCGTTTAAATTGCTGGCGAGAGATGAATCGATCTCACTCATTTTGTCCAATTTATCTTTCATACAATTCATCTCGTTGTGGAGCTTAAAATAAAATTGAATATTTCACAAAAAAGAAAATAGAACAGAATTAACAACATTTCGTACCATACGCATTTTTTTATTTGATTTTAATATATAGAACATTAGGCTCAATGTAATTCCCACTACTAACTAACTTGCATGATCAGAATAAATGCAGCAACAGACACAATGAAGCATATTCCAAAAGATATCGCGAGAACAAACAGAGTTTTCTTGTTTGTAGCCTCCTTGTTGTCTGTGGAAAATGAAAAACATGGATGAAATGCATTTAAAAAAGTGATTTCATGAGGCAAAAAACTACTCATTTTTTATTCTACGTAAGAATAGTAAAAATAAAATTTGTTACAACATTCCTGTAAAATAGCTGATTTCATATGGAGAAAAGTAATGATATTTGCATGTTTAAAAGCCGAAGAAGGTTTACCATGCATGTTTACCCTTGTTTCCTATTATTTTATTTTCCCTTGTTATATTACAAATTAAAATATAAGTTTAATCAAACACAAACCAAGTTTAAGAAACGCCTAGCCCTGAAACAGTTTGCGGGGTTTCATATATATTTTGACAATGAAAATTTGCATAACATTCCATATCCATATTCTAAAACGCGCAGTCTTGGGCCGAAATATTCGTTTTTTAGAGAATTAGCAGCTAACATTAATTATTCAATTTCATCAAAAGCGAAAAATTATTTCATTATTATTATCAGTGGATGGCAAAACAATAACGACACAAAACAATGTATACCCTTGGTTATGTGGACCGTGTACGTCAAACAACATTATTTGGTTTGAATTAGCCTATGCCTCAAGAAGATTTATTCTCGATTATGTGAATTCCAGATAAAGAATACAACAACGAAGGTGGGCCAGGAAAGAACAGATATAGTGGCAGAAATGTGACGCATTACTTCCTTGATATTTAAATGAATAGGTGTTTTCAAAAACAAAACTTCGTGAATTTTGTTATTAAACAATTTGAATGCATAACAGTTAGGCATATATTTTTCATATTATATTTTTATGAATATCATTTTATACAATATAAAGTACTTAGATTTAGACTGTGTTCCTGTTGAATAAGTGACGAACTTACGTACGTGTTATGCAAAACTCAATTGCTTCAATACTCATCAAACAGTTCAGTCACTTCGTTCAGATTTGTATTCAAAGTAATTTAAACATCAAGGAAGTAATACGTCATATATTTCATCACTAGTTCTTTCGGCTTACCGCAAAACACTCATTTCGGAGCCAACCTTTTATGCATTAATTGTGTGAATTTACAAATCGAATAAAGTTCTCCGTTAGTTTATCATATTCACTTAACTGATAGTATACCGTATATTGTTTTATATCGTCATGTTGGTTTAGCAACCCACTTTTATTGGAAGATTAGCAACAAAAATTATTATGCGCGTGTTTATTTCAATGTTGGCCTGTTTAGCTATCTAAAATTATTGAGTTTCTGCTGATTCTTTATAAAAATAGTTATCGGCACTGAGACGTGCATTTAGAAGGCAAAACATTTCATTAAAGCGATAATATGGAGATGGAATGCTGAGCGAATGTTTAAAGTCAAAATGTATATGAAACCCCTCATTATTCACTCAGTATAGAAATATTGCAAAATTAAATTGTCATCTAATATTTATATATATTTAACCACACCAAAAATGAAAAAAATGTTCAAAAAAGGACTATTCACTATGCCAAAAAATCTATAAAAATCTTTTAGATGAGTATTCTGGATTCTCTTTTAAGCTAGAAGCTTGACGATGTCGATAAAATATATTTATTTACTGTGAAATCTTCTAAATTTTAATCTAAAATTTAAA